ATGAGCGTGCTGTTCCGAAGCTGAGAGGTGGTCTCCGGGACAGACACATCCCAACACCGCCGTTCTTCTGGTGCGGTTCTCACTCACAACGGCCGTCGCCTCACGGCAGACCCCTGCCCTCCGCCGGTCCTTTCCTCCGCGAGCGGGCGAGGCGCACGCAGCACACGCTTCCCCTACGCGCAAAGGAATCGAGGGCAAAGCCCACAGAAAGGGCAAGGGCCCTCGCTGCCCCGCGGCCCTGCCTTCTTCGGGCGCAAGACGGCTGCGCGGCGGCCGGGGGCCTGCCGTGCCACACACCACGGCCGGGCAGAGCGAGAGCCCTGGCCCTGGGGCACCGGCACCGCCGGGACGCGCTGGTTATCACTCACGTCCTTCACCTGCACTGAGCACAAAGACACCCCACCACAACATGCCTTTTCCCCTGCCGCATCATGCTGTCCCCTCTGTCACAGGATAACAAATTCTTCGCAAGAGGTTTCTGCTAGATTGTTCATCCTCTTCTTTCTAAACCAGCGCTTCCCCACAGACATTAGGACAGGGCCTGGCTCCGCTGGATTCCCCGCGCCCTTTAGCTCCCAGCTACCTCAGCAACCCAACGCGAACGCATTGAACAGAAGAAGGTGACATCCCTTCACGGCTCACCCTTTCAAACTCGTTCACGCGCACTTAAATGATAGGTCAGGTCACGTCCACCATATATATTATACTCCTGTGCGATACTGAAACACTTCTGAGGGAACTTTTTAAGAAGCAGAAGTGGACTGGTAATAACAGATAGTCCTGTGAGTGAGGAGGGGAAGAAAGTTGCTCGCCAGAATACAGAGTACGGCGACGCCTTCTCACCTGTCCACTAACCACTGCGCTTCCGTCGGCTACCCTGACATGGCTGAGCAGCATTTCCTTTGCAACAAAAACCTCGTGAAGTGTTGCCTTGTACATTTGTACCGATTCAGAACTCTGGAGAAGGAGGCAATTCTTACTGGTTTTAAAGAATAAAGTACTTTATTACGGAAGTTCAATGCGTGCAGAAAATGACTGACAATCATTAAAAAACCCAAAAGGTTGTTTCATGAAAACAAAAGGATGACTATTTACATTAACTTTCTACCACAATGAAATACCTGAAACAGTCGAGGCAGTAAATATTGTTTTTATGTCTTGAGAGATTACTGAACAATAACTTGACACTGTAGTGACACACACCAACAGGGGTTCAAGATGTTTAGATAGCCCTGACCAAGTTGTACGCTGCAGGAGGTCAAAAAATGTTGGCTACACACTTAGGTGAACTGTGTGTCTCTGTTGTTTTTAGCTCATGAAATTGATCTCTTACAGGGAACTTTAGGAAAAATGCTTTAGTATGAAAAAACCCCAACCCTCTACAATACAATGTTTTGGTATCTGAAGCAGTGATTTTATCCACAACTGTCTCAAACGTTTGCTAGCATTTAGCATATCCCAGGACTCTTCCCAAATTACTCTCTGCTTCCTCTCACAGTTCCACCTAAACAGAAATCATCATTGACAAAACCAAGAATATCACATATTGCTCTGAAACATTTTAAAACCCTAAAATCAGGTCTATGAATTGCTGCATATATACAAGAGGTATTTGCCAGCAGGTATATTTATAGAGTAAGAAAAATACCGTAACATATATACCTAATTTACAAATATTCCAACATTATAGAAATGATGCTGTTGCCTTTATGTAGGAAATGCTAGTTACAGAGGTTGGAAAATGAACGGCAATATGTAATTGAGCCCTTGCTAAAGGTATTCATCAAAAAAGGGAGACATTCTTGTTTGCACCTGTCCCCTACACTATCTGTTTTTCTTCCTCTCTCTGCTTCTGCTTCTACTACGTCTGCTCCTTTCTCTGTGCTCCCCTTTACCCAACTTGTCCCCATAGCCCTCTTGACACTTTTTCTTCTCTCTGTGCACATCTGAGCTGGGGCTTCTGGTTTCATTTTTCCTGTGCCGCTCTTCACCAGGGCTTTGGCATGGACTTTTTCTTCTTTGCCTTTGCCTGGAACTGCTGTGACTTGTGCCAGGGCTTCTCCTGCTCCTCTCATCCACGCTTCGGCTTCTACTATCCCTGTCCTTTCCTTCAGTCTCTCTCTTGTTGGTGCTATGGTACCTGCTTTTGGACTTTCTTTCCCCCTCACAGGAGCTCCATTTGTTGTTCTCCGCAGAACTATCTTGCTTTGAAAGTCTGTACTTCTCCCTATCTTTGTCCTTGTTACCGTGACTACTGGAGAGATCTTCACAAAGTTTTTCCTTCCTGGTCTTTGCCTTTCCTTCTGAATCGGTGCTGCTGCTAGCCTCTGAAAACTTGTCTTTTCTTCTTTTCTTAGAAGACATCTTCTTTTGTGTTGCTTTATCTCTGCTGTCAGTCTCGCTATCGCTGCTGCTTCCTGAAGTCTCACTGGAGGATGAGGAAGAGGATCTCATCTTATGTTTCTTGTGTTTACTTTTGCTTTTTTTCTTTTGCTGCTTTTTCTTCTTTCTGTCTTTCTTTTTCTTTTTCTTCTCCAGACGATCCAACTTCCTTTCATTTTCAAAACAGAAGAGTAGCGCAATCAGACGCGTTAAGATATTCTAAATTACAAAGTCACTGTCTTTTAAAGTACACTACTTCTGATGACCTACACAGTACACATGCTATTTTCCATAAAAACATGCTGAATTCCTCTCCTCTTTCAGCAAAATATTATTTTTAAAATTCTAACCTGATGTTAACCATAGTAAGAATCCTCCTGTAATCCACAGCGGCTCCCTCAAAATGGGAGGAGAATGACTTTTATTTCTGTAATTTTAAAAAAGCTAAGTAAGATATGTCAGTTTTTGCCATGTAACTAGGAATAAATATCTTCAGCAGTGCTTTTTTTTCCTTGTCAGCTTGCTCTGGTGACTTTGGAGAATCATTGCTGCTTTTGCTTGTGCATTTTTATAAGAGATTTTTAAAATGAAAAAAAGCGCATTCACTTTCTATTAATGATGGAAACTGAGACTCTAAAGCCTACATCTCCGAGTTCTCCAGGAAAATAATATGAATACTTCCAATACCATCTTCTGTCACAACTAGAAAACTACATTTCCTAGCCATAAGTACAATATTCCATCATGCACATGCCTTCACTGCTATTTGCTTTCACCTAGTTTTTATTTTGCTTTCTGTGTTTATTCTTCTTAAAAAATCAGTGACTGAACAGTGAAACTACTTTCAGTGTATTAAAAAAAAAATCTTTCAGACTAGTAAAATCTGAAGGACGCAAATATTTACTGAACTTCAACTTTCAAAATATAAAGTATAATTTCATTGTGTTGGGCCAGTAGAAGCTCAAACAAAATACCGTTTTAAATTACTCAAACAACATACACATTCCTTACTTAAAAGGAACATAAAATATGCCAATAGAGAATTATTTATTATATATGCAAATACTCTGTGTACCTGCCTACTCACATAGCTGCTTAGCCATTCACCTTTCTCCCCTCTTCCACTCCCCATATACAGAATGTCTTTTAACCTAAAAGCCCATTTTAACTACCGATACCTGCATGGGATCTACTAGGCAGTAGTTAACATTTTTCATTTTAAACATTTTCAGGTTACTTCAAGATAATGTTGCAAATTAACAGAGGAAAAAAACTCACATGACATATTAAATCAGTAGGACAGAAGCAAAGAATGAAAACCTCATTAACTTTTTATTCGAACTACAAAACCACGGGGAGCTCTCTCTGCTGGAGCAGCAAACTGCTAACTCTGATCCGAGAGCAGTGTGGGGCTAGGCCAGCCGTGGCCCTGGGGTGCAGCGTCAGGTTCAGTTTAGCCGCACAGGAGAAAACAACAAACTTTGCCAGGTTGTAAACCAACAAACAAGAACACAGAATTTTTGATCCTGGAAGAAGATGCTGTAAAAAATGGAGTGCAAAATAGGATTTTAAAATAGCAACTGACAGCATCTTCAGTGAACCAATTATTATTATTATTTCAGTATCCTGGTTAAATTGGAAACAAGCTCTAGTGCAAAGGCATCACAGCTAGATTAGAACAGCCCATTTAAAACAAAGCAAAACAACTGGATTAAAAAAACACTCTGCATAATGCCATTTGTGGTCAAGCGTGTGTTAAACTACGCTGATTTTCTTCTGTACTGACGGTGCTAAATTCTTCAGTAGCCTAGAAGAGTTACAGGGACAATCATGGAGTTAGAACTCCTGGCGATACAGATCCCCTCCATCAGGTATCACGCTTACCTTAGAAGTTTCTGTTTTTGTTTGGTTGACAGCGATTTTAAAAATTCAACTTCTGGATCATCATCTCCTTCACTTGCAACAAATTCCTAGGAAAATGTGGTAAGACATTAAGTTCTCATATACAAAAATAATATTTTCATTCACATTTCTATATTAAAAGTGATGCCAATACATACCTTATTTTTGCACAGGCACAAATATATTTGTATTACTAAGTCAGCTTAAGACTCTTTGGAGAGAGCAGCAAATTCTCTACAAAGCGAAGAAAAACCCCACGTTCTCTCAAAGCTAAGTAGGTGTTATAATGGGGGGTTATTTTTGGAGCCTACACGATTCCCCAGGATAAGTCACTCCATTGTTACCATGCTTGGATGAATAGGTAAGATGCTAGTCCTGCTCGAACCCAGAGTAATTTAAGCAAATTACTTTTCTGTCTCGGTTTAGTCATTAGGAAAATGGGTATTAATACATCTACCTCACTGTTGTGTTATTAGTCTTTAAATGTTCATAAAGTGTTCCAGCAATGCAAAATACTGTAATCACATAATCTACATACAGTATTGCAATCAGCAAAGCATAGCTACTTTGAAGACTCTGAATTCTTCAATTTATGTGCATTTGGTACACTACAGTTCTCCACTGTGATGTTCTTAATTTTAGCCACACTCAGAAGGGGAAAGAAGAAATAAAGATTAAAAGGCTCTTCCAAAAAAACCCCACCATACCAAACATACTGGTATCACTGTGATTCATTTAGCAGTGCCCACGTGCTCCATTTTTCTGGGATACACAGCTTTTTTAAATGCAAAGGCACATCTATCTGTGGAGACTCAATGAATTGTTGATTTCCTCAAGATATCAAGACCAGCTGAGGGCCGTCATCCCCTCTTTGCTAGTGGTTTGACTATCCTGCCATATGAAGAACGGCTATTTCATGGTGGCTCACTCAAGGAGTGTATACACATTTTCCCTTTACCTTTTTATTAAAGCACCTCAATTAGAAATGTACCTTGTGCAGTCTAAGTAAAAACAATTCAACATTTTCACTCCCAGAAATAATAGATGTAACAATAGTCAATCAAGTAAAAAAAAGTCTTCAGCTATAGCATTCCTGGCAGTAATTATTTGTGCATGCTTCCTCAAGCTTCATCCAAAGGCTAGGCACTGCATCAGAAGTATGTGGCAAAACCCCTAACCATCCCCTTCATGAAAAATTCAATTTCTAGTCACCCAGAGGAAGGATTTAATTTATTATATGCGGTTTTAAAAGAAGTAATTTATGATTCACTGTTCTGACTGAAACAAAGCTTGGAAAACAGCAAGTTTTTTGGCAGTTTTCTACTGGTATAGCTATTCAGCTTTCCTACGGATATGCATATTTGGAAACATTAAGTAGCAATTCACAAGCAATCACATTTAGATTTGTAGACATTTTCAGCTTACTGGTAAAAAGATCATTACCTGTGATGGATCATTTGCGGTCAAGTTTCTCCCCAGCACATTCCGTTTCAGTGCAAACCCACTGTTTCTCATCTCCGCTATTAGCTCCGAGGGGTGCATTGATGGCCCTGTTCACAAAAATCACAGTTTGAATGTATCATTTATATCTCTCTACCTTTTTTGGACTCCACAGTAGGAATTCAGTTGAAGCTTTGTTAAGTAAAATCACAGCTAAATCAACTCAATAATCTTCTGCTGAGCAAATAATCAGATATGATTTTCTAAAACAGCAGTCTGGAGATTCAGAATAGAAAATAATTGCATTTTTCTTTAAGTACAAGGGGATTCTCTTATGTAACTTTGTCATGTTGAAAACAAGATATTTAGGTAAGTCTAGTAATATATTTTTATTAGAATAACAAAGCACAGGAAATCTAAAGTAAGCACATTAAGTAAGAAAGACTTTTAGGTGCCTCCTCTACCTTAAAGCAATCACTTCTAATTTGTCACTAGTAAGGCTTTTTTCATAATGACACAAATTTTTGAACTTAAATGTAAAAAGTAACCAGAAAGAAACTTGATATACATATGGAAAATAAATGAATACATGAAAAAATTATCCATGTCCTTACTTATTCCATGGACCCCCAGACATGCCAGGTCTCTAGGCTGTTATCTTCTCAGAGATTTATCAGCTTAAAAAATACGCTACATATTGCATTAGAGTAGGCGTTAGGGATTAGGCATGTTATCTTTCTTTGCAAACATCTAACAAGGAGTAAAATACTGGATGTATTCTCAATCATGGAGACTTGACTGCATAATTTATAAACTCTGTAACTCACTCTTCTGCTTTGATTGAATACCTGTGATCATCAAAACCTCACGTACTTGTCTGATTAGGTACTCTTCCTTCACCCTAAACACACACTCTTTTGTTAGGTCACTTTCAGTAAATTCCCTTACCCGCTCATTCACTAACCTTACTGCCAATGAATTAGCACGACTGTATAAGGTAAATCTAAATTGGAAGGAATGTAAACCAGAGCGCGGAGCACACGATTACTATTACTTCCGTAAACCAACTGTAAATGCTAAGAGTAACTAGTCCTATGACACCTACTGATCCTGCTTTGTGGTTTTAAGAGTTTCTTAGTTGCAGAGATGGACAAAAACTCACAGATTTTTAACACAGAAAAGTATGGAAAGCAAGGGAAGGTTTTTACTACAGAAAATATATGGAAAGTAAAATAGCACTTTCTCAAAAAATGTCAGCTTTAACTTCTTAGTTTTCCTGTATAATACACTACTTATAGAAACAAACAGGCCTATGGGTAAAGCAGGAAGGAAGAAGATAAAACTTCGAACATAGTTTAAGGAGCCCTTGCATTACTGACTTTCTCCTCACAAGTTCCTTATTTTGCTAGGCTAAAGAATTTTCTAAGGAGATACCTTTTAGACTTTCCTTGAGTTTACATTTCTATTAAGTAGGGGGTTATTCCTGCCACCCCATACATTTTATCAAAACTGTTTTTTCTTTTTAGGTGTTACAGTGTAATGTAAGCTCACTGATAGCTAATGAATGTATACGGGCTTCAGCGTCTACATTTTTGCTTATTTCAAATTTAAAACCTTGCTCTGCTTGCTGAAATCTACTCTGGCTGGAATGCAGAACGACATGACACGGAAACCTAACAACAGAATTTGGTACCAGCTGATTTGAAGGGCCCACATAAACCAGCTGTATAATTCAGTCAAATACCCTGTATGAGGAAGCGGAATAGAGACAAAGTGTAGAGTCACAAAAGAAGATTTCACCACACCAAAGAAACCAAAACATGACGAGACTGATGCCTGGAATCCCCCTGTTATTCAAAGGCAGTGAGAACCACTGCCTAAAAAAGTAGCCTACCTGACTTACCAGCTATTTCCCCTCCAGTGTCTCAGCATTGTACACATTTTGATGTGTATTACATACCTAATCTCTCATCAGCATGATTAGATAAATAGAGGAATACAACTTGTCCAAATCTATACAGGAGATTTGCAAAAGAACAAAGACACAAGTCCTAACTTTGTGGTTCCAAACGAGGACTATGGGCAGAATCGAGACCAGAGAGGCATGAAGGCGTATCGGCCTTCAAAAGCACAGTTCAGAATTATTTTCTAGAAACAAACCTTTCAGGCATTCTTTGTGCATAACACTCGAAAGAGGCAAGCAAAATCATTTCCCCTTTTACATAAAAAGCTTATAATGAATGCACAATACTACTGATATTTGTGCGTTCATGCCCAATGGATGTCAGTTGTGCTGTAACACACAGATGAATACAAGTGAACAAGAGACCTGTCAGAGCGGCTGCTCAAGCTGGGATCCAACACAAAACCACACGCAAACTTCTGAGTTTGCTTCCATACGCTTTTCAGAGGTGAAATCAGCTCTAGGTTTAAAAAATAAAATCACAGGTAAGCTTAGAAGGAAAGCAAGCCAGACTAAAAAATAAATCTGTATGAATTCTGTTTCCTTGTTTATTAACGACACTGGCATGCATAGCTCCATCTACAATTTTTTAATCCCAGCACAGCATTACCGTGACAAGGTCAGTTAACAAGTCACTGTTATATGTGTTTTGTGGATGTATACAAGTAACATCAAACGCATCTACAGAACCTTCAAGCTAAAGTGGTTTATAAAATAAATTATTCCTGTTCTGGTCTTACTAATTGTGAAGGAAACAGTAATTCAGGTTCAGCCTAGCATGGGAGGAGATGCAAGAATCTCCACGAAGCTTTATTACGTACATTATTTTCACTGTTTCTGAATGGTTTAGAAAACACTAAGAAATGAGATTCAGAAAATAAACCAACCCCACAAATGAAAGTAGAGTCAAAACCCAGTCCTGTTTCACAGGCCTTCTGTGTGCAGACCCCAGCCAGGTATGACACAAGCACGCTGTCCCCTATGGTTGATCATGGAGGACTGTCCTGCAGCATGTGATCTTTGCAGTTTAAAAAAAAAATAATGTTTTTGAGGATGACACAGGTGAACCTGCTCGCACTTTTTTCCTGGACAGATGATGCCACTGAGCTTCTCAGAAGTTCTGCTGCCCAGTGACAGCAAGACTGCGTTGCTACCGCTGTTCAGGTAGCAATGCTCGAACACAACAGGGAGAAAACAGTATCTGATCTGGGAAGTCTAAAGAGACTGTTTTCTATCTGGTTACAAGCCCAGGCCAAGAAGTTCAGTTATGACATTATATTTGACAATGGCTGCACAGCTTCATAGGAAACCTCTATCAGAAAATGTTTATTCTCATAATTAAACTCCTTTGCTTGGAATCAAAGGAATTAAATGCTCGGTGACTGTCTCTTCCCATCCATGCCTCAACAGATGGCATTTGATTCATACTTTAATGATTTTGATAAGCAGATCTGATTTTCTTTGAAATATCAGTGACAGTTTGAGGTCTCCCAGGATTCCCTTGCACAGCTATTTTATGCAACAGCACTGAGGGCTGGATGCCTAAACGTGTGAGCAATCACATTCCCACACTATAAAATTAAGTAAGGGATTTCTCTGGCTTATACAAACAAGGGAGACAAAAAACTGTTAAAGAAACACCAAACACTGAACCTCACTTAACAGAGGTTTGAATAACTCAACTTCTCAGGCGTGTCCATTGCTTCCTTATTTAGGATCGAAAGCTTAAATCTTGGAGCCACCAGTGTACTGGCTGGTAGAGGACCGCCTCCTTCATTTGGGGTAAACTTGACTGTGGAGTCCTGCTTGCTGGAGATGCGACTATGCCCAGTGTGATCAGACCTGGTTTGCCTGGGAAGCCAAAGAGGTAAATCTTTTCAGCCTGTCTTTGGCTTATGACTACATTTCTGACATCATCCTCCAAGATCTTCACACAAAACGGCACTAAGTATATCCGACAGCCATGTATCTTTACCTGGTTATGTTCCAGTTAAGTCATCAACTGTGAAACAGAGGGTTAGATTGAGCTGAGAGGCTCTCGGTTAAAATCTTCGGAACTCATGTTAGCCAAGTATTCTTGAACAGCATTTATCAACTTGCAAAGAATCACTCCTACATCAGGCACAGACAAATACTTTGTGTACTATGAAAACTGATGTCCTCATACATGCTTTCCTTAAGGACTTGTGAGACAGTCTGCAAAGAAGCTACCTGCATGATCTCAAGCAGGTGAAAACATCTAGAGATGACATTATGCCACAAGTTGACAGAATGTTAGATACAGGAATCCTGTAAAAATAGCTGATTGCTGCAACTTCTAACAACTAGTCTCTCAGCATTCATCCATCATCAGACTAAAAATAAGTTCAGCTCCAGCGTTTCATCATCTGTTTCTTATTCTTTCTGAAACAAGTCAAATACAGTACCTTGCTATTTTTGAATATGACTGTCAAGCTTATTTTCTGGAATTTACATTTTGCTAGGGAAAAAAAGAAAAGAAAAAGCCTTTAAAACTTTTTCAGATGACACTTGTTTTAAACTAAAACATTTATCTGCTTTAAAATTAATTCATAGTCTCGGAAAAGCTTTTTATCATATAGTGGAATTAATTGCATGCTGATCTCATACTTATTTTTGTGCATTAAGACAACTGACAACTTAAGTTTTTTACAGCTGCAGGTACTTAAAATTATATTAAGGGCTTGCACAAAAGAGGCTCCATAGTTAAAGACCCACTAAAGGATTTTTAAAACATTTTTTCACGGTCTTTGTAATTCTCAAGAAATAGTGTTGTCAAGCAAATAGACTGCAGTTTCTTCCTGCTTTTTACTTCCCACAGAAGTTCTTGCTGCATTAATTCTATTATCTTCTGTATAAAATACTATTTAAGGAAAAAAAAAAATCCTGATAGCTCAGTTGACTCAGAGTTGGGGCACACAGTCTAGAAACTCAAACCATCCAATGAAGTGTGAAAAGAAGGATTTTAGTCTTCACAAAGTAGAACCTGAGTGCAACCTTATTGACAGCTGTTGGTGCACCTTTATAATATTCATACAACTAAATAAACAGAAGAGGTGTAAACAGAGTTCTTCTGAGGCCTATATAAGCATCAATTATACCGGACTGCAGAAGCATATCATACTAGGA